CTTTGTTTCTTAACCCTTTATAGTCCCCAAACCCATAAATCATCCATTCAATCTTTTCTTTTTTCAACAAAAAGTCCATATAAGGTTTCCAGTCTTTAAAAAAAAAAGTCTTTTATCATTTTCCCCTGACCAAATTGGTCAGCTTTGCCATTTATTTTATTTTATTTTATTTTATATTATATTATTTTATTTTTTATTTAATTATTAAATTTATATGCCACCCATCTCCCTCATTTCCACAATCTCTGTCAATTTTATAATTCAATCTTCTACTGTAGATATTTTGTTATTCCTCCATCATTGTGCATATAATAATCTTGCTTCAGTTATCACATACAGTATTAATTTCCCATATTTCTCTTCTAGTTCAATGTCCATAAAACCCAATAGAAACAATTCTGGTTTCATCCGCAACACGTTTTGCATCATTGTATGGATTTGCACCCAAAATTTATTTGCTTTTTCACAGGTCTGATCACATTTTAAAGGACATATTTTTTAGAACTGGAAACCAACAGCTCTACACACCAAGCATCACTATTTTTAAAGATATATTCTAATGTTCTGTTCTAAAATTGCTTTATGAATCAATCACTAGCATCACAGTATTACAACTGTGTAATATTGTTACACAGGATAGGCAACTGAAGTGTCTGGAGAACTGTACTTCTCTACCAACTCTGATACAGCAAATTTGCAAGTAGATGGCATATCCTCAGTGGGTCAACCACCATGTAAATTAAACTTTGACATTAGACAATCTAACATGTCTCCAGACTGTATTTTTAATATTTGGGGGGGAAAAAAACTTATGTTGCCTTTAGTCAGGTGCAATTTGGCTTGAAAGTTGTAACTTTTGGCATTAAGGAAATTAAATTCTGTGTAGTAGATTGACAAAATGATGCCCTAGACCATTTGTGAGGCAAATCAGAAGCACTTCGTACCTCTGCATGGTCTAATATAGAGATGTTGACTTGCTGTTTGCCTGAACTTGAAGTGTACTTTTTCCAGTTCCTGGAATTATTTTAGTTAAAAAATGGAGCTGAACTTGTGTCTAAACAGCTTGGTCAGCAAGTAACTTATAAGGAAGCCGCCTTCTGCCTGGAGGCTCTGCTGCTAAGACGCTTCATCAGAAGTGCACCCTTTGTGGGTGCAGAGGTGGGCTCCCTAGTGCACTGTTATCTCTGTCTTTGGCTCCATGCTGGTTCCCTCCCACAGAACAGGTGCATTAGTGCCATTAGATCATTTTAGATCCTTACTAGTCTCTTGTGCTATAGATGATGGGTTGCTTGGAAAACTATCATTTTGTTGCACACTTTGGCTACATTTTTTGCAACTATCTTTCCTCTTCATGCCCATTATACAATATAATTCTCTCACTCTCTTTTTGTGTAGCAATTCTGATATATGCATTTTTTTCTCTACGGCCTTGTTCATTTTGTCATTCTACTAAACATTATTTTTCATACTTGATACTATCACTACCGCTCCACACAGTTCTGCGGCCCTCCGAAACATAATCTTTCACTCTGTTCTAAGCAACTTCCACCTCCTCTTTAATCTTCTTCCCACTTATTTTGTTGGAAGATTAATCTCTTCTAATATTTTTATATGGAACTTATACTTTCTCTTCCTGTAGTCATTCTACTGCCACTCTTGTTCATTTCAGTTCTTTCCTTTTCTTCTCTTCCATGTCCATTTTTTCCAAAGACCACTGTTGGCATTATCAAAAAAAAGAAAGAAAGAAAGAAAGGTCTGTTGCACATTCAGAACTTCTCAAGACCCTTCTATCCTTCAACTGATGCCATCACAGTAAGCAAACTGAAGGAATGAATAGAAATATAAGCTCTACTTTATTTATGTAACTGTTTTGGTTCTGTGGAGTGTTCTGAGTTACTTGTAAGTAATACTTCTTGGGGGTAAAACCAAATCAAAGATACGCCATTGTCTCATCATTCATTCTGATCAGAAGTAGCTGGTGGAGAGCAATACCAGCTATGTGGTTTGTTAATTATGTCAGTCAAAGTTGGCAGTGTAAGAGAAACTGGGCCAACTAAACCTATATATAGTTAGAAGCAGGAGTGACATAGTAACAAGAGTTAGATTCCTTCATTATGTTGCAGAGAGTAGATTGATCCAGGTTAAAAGCTTGTCCTAGGACTGAGAATCCTTCACCAGTTTCAGCACAACTTAGTATGCTAAATTTTGTTTCTAGTGTTAGAAATGTTAAGAGAGGTCCTTCTGCTTTTTATTTTAGGTAAAGGGATTGGACATTGATGGCCAATTTAGCTCTATAGTAGCTATTGCAGGTATGGAAGTAAGAGGGAGAACAGCTAGAACAACTGCATAACTGCACAACACAATGGTATATGTGTGAGTGAGATCAGAAAGGGGTTTTGGTGGGAAAATATTCAATCAGTTTTGGTAGGAAGAAATCTTGGCATGTTTCCGGATTTTGGTGCAAATTGACTATGCAGGCACAAATCATGTAATATCAGGGTTTACAGATGATGGGCAATGATTGGACCGCCATATAATTCCAGCAAAAGAAACCTTGGTGAGCCAGTTGCCAGCTAATGTTTGTACTACTGGGCCAGATGGACCAATGGTTTAACTACTCAACAGAAGACAGCACATGTTCTGAAGAGAAAATACTCAAATCTTCCTATCTCCCATCCACTTTTGTACTGTATCTCCACCCTTATCACTAGTTTTCTTCCTTCTCTGTCTTTTAAAAGGCACAGTCTGAGAAAATCTGGCAACTCTACAAAATGTGGAGTCCTTGGGGTTCTCTGACTTGTTTTCTTGCAGACGTTTCATTACCCGCCTAGGTTACCAGCACTGAAGAAGTTACCTAGTTGGGTAATGAAACGTCTGCAAGAAAACAAGTCAGAGAACCCCAAGGACTCCACATTTTGTAGAGTTGCCAGATTTTCTCAGACTGTGCCTTTTAAAAGACAGAGAAGGAAGAAAACTGGTGATAAGGGTGGAGATACAGTACAAAAGTGGATGGGAGATAGGAAGATTTGAGTATTTTCTCTTCAGAACATGTGCTGTCTTCTGTTGAGTAGTTAAACCATTGGTCCATCTGGCCCAGTAGTACAAACATTAGC